AGCCCTGCCTCCCATGTGGACCCTGTCTTCACCCCTGCTAAATCGGACACGGCCTGGCCTGGTGGGACAGGGAAGGTTCGAGGGAGTGTGGGGGGCACAGAAAGCTCCTCCGAGACTGTGACCACACTGGCTGTGCGCGGCGTCCCGAGGCCAACGTCCACCCATGGGGCTGGCCAGTGTGCGACACACGGGGTGCCCAGCGCAGTCTGAATTTCACACAACCACTCCCACGGACTCCGTGGTGGCTGTCGTACGAGGCTTGCAATGACATTAGAACAAATTATCAGTTGATTCTCTGGATGCAGCTTTACCTGGGCTGGCTGACCCTCTCTAAGCGTGGACTCAGAGGACGGGGATCTCCCTCTTCAGGGAGAGGCCGAGTAACTTAGGCCCGTGTCAGCCCACGGGCCAGGCCTGCCAGGCCTCGCTGTTGCATGGATACGCTCCAGGGGACCCCAGCTGCCCTGCCCGCCAGCGCTCCCACCACCCCATCCCCAGGGGGCAGGGGTGCTCAGCTGCTTCGGCCTGGGAGAGGCTGCTTCAGGCAAGCAGCAGCTTCAAAAGGCCAAGAGCAAGTAAACGAGCGAGAGCTTTAAACACGGATGTGGGGGGCCTCCCTGGTGGCACAAGGGGTTAAAGTGCAACCTACAAAGCTATTCTCAGCCACTGCAGTATGGGTCTGATCCCCGGCCAGGGAGCTGACCCACGGGGCGCAGCAGACCCCTCCTGTCTCCCCGCTGCTGCCCTCAGCAGTGTGTTTCAGTTAGTCTGCCTGCTCTGCTCCCCACTCTGTCTCTGGTGAGTCCTCTCACCCCCTGCTCCTCTGGCCTGTACCCCAGTTCCTATACGCATAAATAACTAAATCTTTAAAAAATAAATAATAAATAAACAGGGACTCGAGCACACACGCGCCCACCTTCCGCCGCGGAAGCCGCCTGGCACTGCACCTGGAGGAGTTACTGGAATGGCAGAGCCCGGTGGCCGCCCGGTGTGGAAGCCAGAGGTGCCCGGAGGCAGGTGCGAGCGGGCGGCTGGGGCTACCTGAGCCCAGAGACCTACGCTCACCCTCTTCTCTCTAGCTGAGCCGCAGCCTCCTCCAGCCTGGACAGCGGCTGGGGAAGGACCCGCTCTCTCCCCTCGTCCATTCGCTCATTCGTCAGTTCCTTTCCTCTCGTCCCCCAGCGCCCTGCAGCCTCACCGGGCAGGGTCAGGCCCTTTCTCTAGGAGGCAGCGGCCTGTGAAGCCTTGAACAGAAACTCCTCTCCAGAATCTCAGTGTGGGAAACTGATAACCCCATGGGAGGACCTTCCCGCAGGGACCTGCATGCCTGGCGTGAGGGGAGGGCGGGGGCCCGGGGGCGGGCAGGGGGAGGTGTTGGAAAATCTTATTGTCGTTTGCAGAAGGTTGAGACTCTCTGAGGCACCTGAACGTGCGCGGACACCGTCACAACCCCCACGCCCTCCTGCCTCTCCCGAGCCCCCTCCTCAGGCCTCCTAACCCCCGGGCGGGGGAGGGTCCGGTTACCCCAGCCCGGGCTCTGGTTTTAATGAGATCAGCGGAATTTCCCAGCAGCCTCAGCAATGAGCCCGCATCCAAGACTCTCCTCTGGGCCGGAGAGCAGCATGGGAGACGGCCACGGGAGCCCCCTGGGCAGGAAAGATCTAAGAAAGGAGGCCCAAGCCCCACCACCCCCACCCCGAGTCCTTCCCGGGCACCGTCCCTGCTCGTCCTGTCCCCCCTCACGTGTGCTGGGTTTGGGCTGACCCTGGAGCTGTCCCGCAACGCCCCGGCCTTCCGACGTCCTCAAGGCCTGATGTGGGCAGCCCAGCACCTTGGGCCTCCTGGAGGGGCTGTGAGCTGCAGTTCCAGGGGACTCTCGGGGAACGGCCCCCGCCCCGGAGGCCTGGAGATGGAGTGGCAGGACCAAGCCCTCGCCTCAAAGCCGACAGGCAGCGGGACGGCCTCCGCGTGGGGAGGGCCTCGCAGAAGCAGCCTGAGGGCCCCCAGGGCTGTCCGTGGAGCTGGTCTCAGTTCCAATCTGCTCTCGAGAGGGCCCAGGCTCCGCTCGGGGAGGCGGCCGGTGCTCCTTCAAGGCTGAAACGCCTTCAGAGGAAGTGCTTGTCCCGGGGCAGCCCAGGACCTCCGGGAAGTCCCTGGCCGCACACGTGCTGCAGCCCGGAGGCCGCCGGCCGGCGCACACACCCGCGCGTTGTGGACCTGGCACAACGCAGCCTGGCGGGCCCGAGTCTGCAGCGACAGCCGCGGCGCCCGGGTCATTCTTCCCAGCCGTGGTTGGGTCTTTCAAGGTCACTCTTAGTTCATGATAATAAACTGTGTCAGCAGCAGAAAGGAGGCGATTTCCTTCCTCTGTGTCATGCTGGGGGACCCATGTCCAGTTCCTTAAAAGCCCAGTTAGGTGCTCAAAATGCGAAGTCAAGGTTGGGACTCGGGAAGCCAGCAGCAAGCTGGACGCACACTCGGCGCCACCGTCCTGGCCTCAGCTGGCCCTGCCGCGGTTTCAAAAGAGACGGGGGACACCTTGGGCTCTGCCCTGGCCCAGCATGCACTCCAGGCACCCCATCCCACACTCGGCTTTCTCGGCTGCACCAAAGCACGACCCCCCACTCTCGCGCCGGGCTGTGCCAGTGAGCACCCCAGGAAGAGCACCCCAGGAAGAGCACCCCAGCATGAGCACCCCAGCGCAGAAACGCCTACAGAGCCCTGGCCCGCACCGTTCACAAGAGCATCAGCTGCTCCGCATCAGCAGCAGGCTTCCCCGGCATTTTGTTCCAGCCCAAGTATGGGGTGTGACCATTTCTCTCTGGGAGACTCGGGGTGCAGAGGCCTGAGTCAGTGGGCCCGGGCGGGGGGACCTCAGGGGTGCTGCACTCGTGAGAGCATCCAGGAGGCACACAGGTTCCTATTTTGAAGACAAAAGTAGAAAACACAAGATGGTCAAAAATGTGAAAGTGGGGAAAGGCCTCCATTCAGAAAAAAATAAGGTGCAATAGCAGAAAGAGGGGTGCAGAGCGAGCTGCCTGAGCTCCTCTGCGGCTGTTTGCTCTAAATGCACCCCTTTGGCGCATGCCCAGGGCTCTCACTTGTCCCTGAGCTTTGGCGAAACGCCCTGGAAGAACAAGAGGCGCGTTCACCCCCGGGCGGGGCTGGAGTCGCTGCCCGGGGTGCTCCCGTGTCTGAGACCCCAGCCCCGCCCCGGTACCCGCACTTGTCTTGGGGGCTGTTCCTTCGGGTTGAGCTTCTAGAATGGAATTTAGCCTCCGACCACAATTGTTTTTTTCCTCCAGCTAAAACCTTATTTTCGAGAAGCTGGGTGGTCTCAGGCGGCACAATGGCTGCAAGATGCGAGGGGTTCACAGGATTCACAGACGTTCTCGCCCAAGCGACAGCCGGCTTCGCTTCGGCACCGATGTCTGCTGTTGACTTTTTAAACTTTTTAAAAAAAGATTTATTTTTATTTATGCATACAAGAGCTGGGGTGCAGGCCAGAGGTGTGGGGGGTGAGAGGATTCCCCAGAGACAGAGTGGGGAGCAGAACAGACAGATCAACTAAAACACACTGCTGAGGGGAGCAGCGGGGAGACCGGAGAGGTCTGCTGTGCCATGGGCCAGCTCCCTGGCCGGGATCGAACTCAGGCCGCTGTGGTGATGGCGCTGAGACTTAACCCCTGCGCCACCAGGGAGGCCCTAAGAAATTATTCTTAAGTGCCTTGTTAGGGCTCTGGGTGACCCTCGGAGGGTCGGAGGCGACATAAGGACACACTGCATGGGATTCTGTCTGTCGGCGCTTGGTGACCTCCCTGTCTCGTCCCCCGCACAGCGTCATGAAGCTTCCAACAGACTGAGGAAGTAACTGCAGAACAGGCCACGTGAAACGACCCCATGAAAGAGTCACATGAGATATGTGACCTTGGGGACCTGGGTGTTGCGAAGACCAGCAGTGTCACCTCTCGGGGGAGCGCCCCTTCTTCCAGAGCAGCGACAGGACTTTTTGGACATTTGATGGGCTCCGAGATGCCCCTTGGGGTTGGCGACGGGGGACCCACCAGGTGCCAGCCAGACAAGGTCTCGCCAACAAGACAGGCTCTCCACGGAGAGTGAGGGCCCCCAGGAGGCAGGTCGGGCACTGCGGGAGGCACGCGGCCCCCAGCAGTTACGGAGCGAGTGGCGGGGAGCGGCCGGCCGGGAGGACGGCACCAGGGCGACTATTCTGGATCTAAAACGGACGGGCAGACCTCACAGAACTTAGGTCAGGACTGCGTGTCCTCAAATAGTTCATTTTCATAGCTTCCCCAGGCCGGGGGGCCCCCGGGGTCCCCAGCAGTTGCCTCTCTGCAGGCCGGAGAGGAACTGGGGACCAGGACTGCCCCACGGGCGCCCGTGGAAGAGGCCAGTGATTTCTCCTGATCGGCGTTTGTGCTGCTGCTTCCCCTCACCCCGGGCCTGTCTGGTGGGCGAGCCCCAACATGCAGGGGGGCGTAGCAGGGGTCGCCGAGTCCCCCAGCCCTGGCAATGGGGCAGGTCCCCACTGGCTCGCAGGGGCGCTGAGAGACGCTGATGACAGCACCCCCTGGAGATGGAGCCTGCGTCCTGCCAGCAGCCTCTGAGGGTAAGGAACAGGGACACGGGACCAGCAGGTCGGCCCCGGCTGCCTTGCGCTCGCCTGCGACTGTCTCCGTGGCTCCCATCAGAATCCGCCGCGTGGGCTCCGCTCAGTTATTCTTAGCTCAACAGCCCGACAGGGTCAGACAGTGAGTGCTGTTCGCGTTACAAAGTGGGGAGGCAGGCCCCGTCTGCGTGCCGTGAAGACACGGAGGGACCACGCAGACGCCTGTCTGTCCCGGGACGCAGCAGAGAGGCACGCAGCTTACCAGGGCAGGAGGGGCCGCCAGGGCCGGAGGGGCCCCGGGCCAGAGCAGGGCCAGCTCGGTGGACAGGACCGTGAACCGAAGGTTTTGTTTTTTTTTTTTTTGGTTAAGAATGCGGTTTTTATTTGTGTCACCAACAAGGAGGCAGCTCTTCTGCTCTCATGAGTGCAGGGCCTGCCACTTGTGCAGAGGGCCTCGATTTGGGATGTATTTCTCGCCACGGCCATCTGGGATGAGCTGCTTTTCAGCTACCATGTCTTCAAACTCATCTGCATTAAACTTGGTAAAGCCCCACTTCTTGGAAATATGGATTTTCTGGCGGCCAGGGAACTGGCCCTTGGCCCTACACAGAGCCTCGATGACATGCTCCTTGTTCTGCAGCTTGGTGCAGATGGACATGATGACTTGGCCAATGTGGACCCTGGCCACGGTGCCCTGAGGCTTCCCAAAGACACCCCGCATACCTGTCTGGAGCCTAACAGTGGGGACAGCATAAGGTCAGGCATGAAGGACCCCTAAAAAGGGCTGTCTCCAAGGTCCCTTAGAGCAACCTATATGATCAACAGGCTGCACTCACTACCGAGGAGGCTGCTGTTTGCAGCCACTGCACACCGGGCCCCATGGGAGGAGAAGCACGGTCGGCTTAATTGGCTGCCCGAGAACTGAAGGGTTTTGATGGCTTCCCTCATGCTGATTCTAGAATGATTCTAGAACCTGATTCTAGAATCTCCCGACATTGCTGGGAGCTCCCACATCACAGCTGATATAGCTGCAACGGTACACAGGTTTGTAGGTAAGTGATGGTCAGGCTTTTATAGCGCTGGCCTCTGTGGCCATCACCTATGGCTTTGATTGCCGGAGGTGCTTGGGAGTGTGGGCGCAGGGCCCGGGGCCCAAGGGTGAGGGCTGCATGAGCGGGCGCACCTGGGCCTGGAGGCTGAGGCTGTGAGGGTGGCAGCAGAAGACGGAGCGGGCACAACGGCTACGGCACCAGGAAACGACACCAGGGAGAACCTAAGGAAAGAGTAAAGGCTCATGGGGTGCTGGGAGGCCTGCAGCCCCCTAACCCCCCGCCCCTACCTGGTTGCTGCTCTGCAGGTGGTGCGGAGAGAGCATTAAAGCCTGGGAGCAACCCCCCAAGGGCTCCAGGCTCTCCTCTGCCCTCTGCCCGGGTCCGTAGAGAACCTGCCCCGTGCTGCTGGCGCCGCACCAGTGGGGTAAAGCGCTGAGCTGAACAGGGAAGACCAGCACTCACCCGCGCACCCCGCTCTCAGCCAGGAGGGCCTCAGCGTGCGCCCCTGTCCCCTGAGGGCCCAGCGGCTGCCTCCCCCCGGGGGGACAGTTGTCACTGCAGAGTTCCTGGCCGTGTCTTCACCATTGCCAATCTCTTGTTTTCTGCCGTTGGGTGTCCTGATGCGTGACCAGCTGTCGCATCAGATCCTGGGTACCCACAGGCCTTGCATGGAATGTTCTGGATTCAGCACCAGGAATCCCAAATAATCGGCAAATCATGGGTAATTGTTTGCAGATGTGCCTCTCGCTGAGCTCTGGGCTGATCACGTTCACAGAATTCACCAAAGCAACCGGTGTCCGGGGCCTCAGTCAGCCCACGCACCCTGCGGCCTGAGCCCCCCCCCCCCGGGACATCCTCGGCCAGGAGTCCCGTGGACCCGCCGTCGCTTGGAGGCGATACCGGCCTGCCCGGGAGATGCCCCTCGGTGTTCTTCTCACTGCCTTTTGCCTTTTTAGTCCCTTCTCTTTGAGTCTCTTCACAAATCAGCCCAATGCTAAAAGCAAATTCTCTCCAGTGTCTTCAAATCTAGGAGAAAAGTCAGTAATTTGCTTTTGAAAAATGAATTATGACAAACATCGTGGACTGTCGCCCGCGTCACTGTTGCCAGCTTGAGATCGGCCTGCGGGCACCTGTAAGTGCCAGGCGCTCCGAGATGGAGACGCGGCTTCCTGGTGCTGGTCTCTGGGGGGCCGGGCTGTCCCGGCGGCGGACGGTCTCCTGCCCGGGGCGCTCCTGGCGCTCCTTCTCCTCAGAGCCCCCAAGTGAGGGGACGGTGGGCTGGCTGGGGGTCTGGTGGGGGCACCCCGGCTGGGGCCAGCACCTCCCCCACTTAGAAGCCCCGGGGGGAGTCCTGCCATGCTGAAGCACCAGGAAGGTGCAGGTGGGGCCCCCCCATCCTCCTGGCAGGACCAGGGGCGCCTGCACCTGAGCAGTGGGTGGGCAGGTGAGCGGTCACTTCCAGGACCTAAGAACCCCTCGCCCCACACGTAAGCTTTTCTCCGACATTCGGGGTGCACGTCCCTGGAGCGTTTCCTTCCTCGCGGCGGTCAAGCCCCGGTTCTGCCTGTGGGCCTGCGGGTGTCGGCAGGTGAGACGGGCCTCACTGTGGGGGTGCACCTGGCCTGGCTCCTCCGTGTCTGTCTTTCAAATGAGGTTGGGTTATTTCTAGGGTCCTTTTCTGATGAACAAACCAACAAGCTGGCACATAATTGCGTGGTGCTCAGATGTGGTGTTCACGAGGAAGAAGTGGGGGGACGCCTGCACCAGGTGTCCTGGGGGAGGGGCTGATGCCCCAGGTGTCCTGGGGTGCGCTTGGGTCTTGCCCTGGGTGACGGGAGGCCCCTCAAAGGGTCAGCCCACGGAACAGGGGCGGATGGACCCCTGTGGTTTGAGAGGGACAAAGGGAAATTGAGAAATTTGAAAGTTTGCACCAGACAGCACGTAAATAAAAATGTGGTTTCTCACAGCCACATGGGTAAAAACAGAGGGCATCCTGCCTTGTTGTAAAAGAGCTTCCTACGGGCCTCCCTGGTGGCGCAAGGGGTTAAGCACAGCACTGTGAAGCTGTGGGGCCCCACAGGCTCTCGGGCCTGGCATGGCATCTGCAGATGTGAGAGGGACAAAGCCTGGGAGCAACCCAGGGGCGAGCCGTCCCTGGCCGTTGTGAGTCACCCACACCGCGGTGGGCACAGCCCCTTCCTCCCTTCCCCCTAAGGACCCCAGTTCTGTGCCTGTTGAACTAAGAAGAGTCAGGCGGTTCTGGGGTCTCCCTGCTCCCCACAGCCTTGTCCATTCATGCCCAGGCTCAGCGTGGGTCGAGCCTGTCCCACAGCAGTCGAGATCTTAGCCCCGGGGGTCTGTGCTCGGGTAGCCCCAGGTGTCCCAGAGCCAGCTCTCCCCAGGGGCCTGGGTCTCCTCCACACACCCCGCCCCCCAGGTATTTCCTTCATGTCTCCCACGGACCAGAGGGAGTGAAAGGCCTCGTGGCCTGGGCCTGAGCCCGCCATCCTCAGGGAGCCCGGGTGAGTCCCCTGAGCGGAGCCGCGGCCCCTCCAAGCCGCCTCCGAGCCCGGGCGGGGCTGTTTATTTTGGGTCTGATGAGTAAATCATGTGGAACAAAATCAAAAGCGCTGCTGAAGCCAACGCAGATGACATCTGTCACTTCCCCTTAATCATCAGGCGGGGAGGCCCGGGATTAATTAGACAGGCGCTTTCAAACATTTGCCAACAGTGACTCCACGCCCCCCTCTTTTTTTTTAATGCACTAGCAAGTGAAAAGAAGGAATTTTCACACTTTCTTGTCATGCTTTGAGTCAGGGTTTGAGGTGAAGTGTCCAGTCTTTTCTCTTTAAGAGTGCACGTGTGTCCTGCCCTCCGCTGCTCAGGGCCTGGCCCTCAACTCAGTCCCTCTTGATTCTTTAGCATTTGTCCACCGGGCTAGGTGGACCCTGCCGCGGGCACCAGACGGGACACCGCCTGGGCTGAGCTGCCTCTAATTGAAAAGGGAGTCACGTGGGGAGGGTCTCGGGAGGGCTGTGATTAATCCAGGGTAATTAAAATCACACTGGTCGTGTCACCGCCTACCCTGGCCGCATCCTGAGGGAGGCGCCGTGCTCTTGGGGGCCTCCAGCCGTCGGTCACTTGCCGCCGCTGCACGTGTGACCTGGGCATCATCACCATCACCCACCTCTTTGGGCACGCGTCCCCGACCCCAGGGAATGGCTGTCTCCACTGCCTTGGCCTTGAGACAGACGCAGGCGCAGGACAAACCCCACACTTGCAGGCCGCTGAGAGTGTCCTGGCCGCCACCTGTCCCTCCCCGCCCATTTGTCCAGATTGACAGGGTGACCCCCTCTGACCGCTCTCACTTGGAGGCCCCGGTCTCCCGGCGAACCTTCCTGGAACTGTCTTCCGCCATCCAGCCTTCCTGGAGGCTCTAATCCTCCAGCTCCCCGTGTGCTTGTGTGTTGACAGGCGGGAGAAACTGAGGCAGGATGGACAGAGCCTTGAGCTTGCTCATGAGCCCTGGACTTGAGGGCCAGCTCTCCAGCCGCTGGGCACCCTGCCTCACCTCTCGGCCTCTGGTGTGCACTCTGAGGGCGGCTAGTGTCTTTCTCACAGAGGCTGCAAGGATTAAGTTAGCATAGAAAGAAAATGTGTCTGGATCCACCCCTAGTAGCGGTGGCGCTTCATAAATGCCAGTGAGACACCAGCGTCCAGAGTGACACTTGACTAAGCTTCGGGAGGGGACGAGAGACCTCCCACCGTGACGGGAGGTGCCCGGGAAGCCAGCTGACATCAAGACTCACGGAGAACCAGCCCCCCGGAGGATCAAGGGCCAGTTGCTGTGGTTGGGACCAGGCGGCAGGAAATAAATCTGCTAGAAAATGAGTTTCTAAGTCAAAGCGAAATAGGGAAAATTATTCTAATCCTCCGGGCTCGTGCTGTGGGTGTGAATCCGGGGTACTTGTCCCGGAAGCGAATCCCTCTGGCCCGCCGGCCTTCCCCGCGGGGCCGCGCTGCTGCATCGGGGCTGAGGAGCGAGGCCCTGTGAGCTGTTGTTTTCCAAGTTTCAGTCTCCAGATTCCAAAGCCTTGAGAACACCCCATTTTGAGATCTTGAGATCTTGAGAAGTTTGAGGTCAGGGTCTTTCTGGAGGGAGAGGGAGGTCTCAACTCTCCTTCAACCCTCTTGAAGTCAGAAGTGAACTAACTAAAGCTGTTGCCAAATTTCCTCTCAATTCAACTTCTGAAAATATGGGAAACAATAGTGGCGGTTCAGGAATTTGGGGACTGGGCTGAGAAGCAAAGAGGGGCCTCCTTTGACCCAAGCAGGGTGGAGCTGGGCAGTTAGGGTTTGGTCTCTGGAGTAGGGCCTCAACCTTCAGGCACAGAGTGTAGCCGGTCAGCTCCTGTCAGTGTGTGTAACAAAAGACCGGGCATCCCATCCAGGGGTAAATTTTACATGCAGCCTGTGCATTTGTGTGTAATTCAGCCTTTTGTTTTCAGGCACCACCTTCAGGATATAATGAAAGCTGCCAAGCAGAGGAAGCAGCAGGAGGAGCTAGTCATGGTCAAGAGTAAAAAGAATTCGTGGAAACAGACCCCCCAATGACCCAGGTTTTGGAATTACTGATGACTTTAAGATGACTCTGATCGGCATGTTTAAAAAGTCTCAAGAAAAGGTAAATATAATGAAGAAGGAGGTGAAGCGTTTATAGAGATGTGGAAACCCGAAAAACAAGCCAAATGGAAATGGTGGCACCGAAAATACAGTATCTGGGGGAAAAAAAAAACGGATGTATTAATACCAGACTTGATATAACAGGAAAAAAAATAAGTCAACTGGAAAAAGAGAAGTCAGT